GTAAGCATTAACAAAATATACAAATTCCAACCCACGACTTCCCCAGTTTTTGCTAGATCATGATTCCATTTACCTTTCTAAATAGATACTACATATGGCATCAATTGCATGGTTCCAAAACAGGCAGTCCACTTTTAATTGGGAATGCAGTGTGCAGGGAGGGGAGATGTAACGCTTGTCGCTTTGGAATAATGACAATTCATCTCCATTCTCTGGGGGCAGGACTCGTATTAGCACGAATGGGGCCATTTCCCCTAAGCCTAATGGTGGCTTGGGGGCAAGGAATCAGACTCCCATCCCTGTGCACTGTGTTGTCAATTAAAACTGGCCCTATGCCTGTAATAACATTTAGCATAAGAAAAAGTGATTTGCAGTGACACACCTAGCATCACAAGTCATTAGACCGTTAGGTTCTACTGCAGGAGGATGTGGTATCCTTCAGATGCTGTTGGGCTACAGCTTCCATCACCTCTGATGATTGGCTGTGCTGTCTAGGGCTTATGGAGGGTATGATGTTAGCTGCTCCTGTACTACTGCAGTGATACGGCTTTGTTTTCACCAAAACCATGCTATCTAAAATGTTTCTTATGTTTCTTACACTGGTCAAGAACATCTGCTGCTCTTTAAATTCAAATGGCTGCTGTATGTTGCTTCAGTGCCCTTGTGAGCCACAATAACTGTCTTGCCCTTAAAGGAAAACTTGGCATAGCAGGGAGATGGAAGTGAGAGGAATTTAACTGCTGGTATCCATGAAGACCTAATTTTCTCTTAAACGGTAGCTTCCTGTTCTAGCATGTAACACTCCTGCTTACTAAGGAGCTTTTAAGGGCACCCACAGGAGTGACCTCAATCGTGCTGCACGCTCTAGCCATGTCATAATCCCTTGAAGCCCTATATTATGTTTAGGCTGCTCATGAGGCATTATTCTATCTCTTTCTGCCAAGAGCTTAAAGGTCCCTGAAGGAAGTGGCACAACCTTTTATTTTCACTTTTTTGGGGGTGGTGGTAACAGAATTAAAACACAAAAGCAGGTTCTCTAACCCACCTGGGTGGGGTCAAGAAATATTGGAGGGTCATCTCATTTGGGGATAAAGCCAGTATTAGAGGGAAGCCACAGTAGCATGTTAGTGTGGGTAACAAAGCAACATTGGGAAGCCGTGTTCATGAACAGATAGGTGGGGAATGTGAAACAGAAAATCCGTTGGCAGAGAAAGGGTTATACATCTCCTTTCCCCACCATTCCTTCACTTAAAATGACAGCCTCCCATGGCTTCTTTTTATTTAAAGAATAGAGATGAGGCTTCATAACATGCACCAGTGTGTAACATGTCAGTTTGCCTCTCATCGTTTTTATATGCTACCATGCAGAGTTTTAAAATTTGAAAAGTGATGTCCCCACATTTGAAATCTAAGGTTGAGGGGAAAGCAATTATGAAGCTACGGCATGGTCAGAGAATCCCAGTACTGCACACCTTGAGTTCCTGCAACAGACTTTCCTATTTACTCCAATGAAGTGCTTCAAGATGTTTCTGTTTTTCAGGATATAAACCCAGTCAGTGATGGCTGGAGTACCTTTAATTTTACAAGATCTACAGTTTTGTAGTAAAGCTTTGAAGAAAAGAAAAGAAATATTTCACACCACTTTCTCAGATAGAAATTGTAATGTGGAACTGTTGTGGCCATGAACAAGACAGACATTTGTTATTATTTAAGACTGTAAAATTTCACAGAAGACATATTGATAGCTACATCTATTTCTTTACCTTCTCAAATATATACTAATATCAAATTTAAGTACTGAGTTGTGACAGCTATGTTGCCAAAATGAGGAAATAAGAGAGGTAATATTATGCTCAGGAACATCAAGGTTTGAAAAGTAGAAAATTAATTTTTGGGAGGGGTGAAATTAAAGGGGCAAAAAGTGCCACACACCAATAGCAGCCCAATGAGGACTGAGCATCTTCAAGTGACCTCAGTTTGGAGTTGGGACAGATTGGCAGATAAAAATAAAAACAGAGAGGAGAAGGTGTAAAGGATTAGCATGGGTGGATGACTAGAACACTGAACAGGACTTTCCATCCATGCCTCATTTTGTTGCAGCTCTCCTTTGGGTTTTCTAAAGGTGTCAAGTGCTCATAGAAGCATGGCTTTTAATCAAAATCCTGGACCACAGAATGATGATTTTCTTTTTCACAATAAGAAACCTTGTCTGCTGTTTCTCTTTCAGGTCCCCAACCTTCAAGCTCTAATCCTCTGCTCTGGAGCTGTTGTAGCTGCAGGAAGAGAGCCCTTTAAAGCAGCTAATTATGATCCTCGTCGGTATTCACTACCTAGTAAACTGCCTGGGGTCTCCAGTCGTGTATACCCCAGAACAAATGCCAAGTCGGAGGGTAGAAAAAGTAAGTGTCTTTAATGATTCTCAGTTCTAATTTCCTTCTCCCTCTTTTATTATTCTATAAAATGAAATGGCAAAAAGGAATGGTCTGCCTAGATATCAGTATATTAAAAAAAGGCCAGTTAAACCATTTACAGACTCCCTAGCCAAATCCTCACAAATGAGGAAAATGAAAGAGCCTGAGGGAAGGGGAGAATACAGTATTAAGCACCAGCAGTCTCTGTTATTCCTCTAAATATGAAGGTTTTGACTATATTAAAACCATCATTATCTATTAACAGCTCATTCATCTTTTAACTCACCTGTTATAAATCAGTTATTTTCAGTGTTAGTCCAAGTCAGAACACACCCATTGGAATTAATGAACATAGCTAACTTAGGTTCATTTCAGTGGGTCTACTCTGAGTGCACTTTAGTTTGCTACAACGCTTCCTCTCCAATGTGAGTACTCTAATTTAGAAAGTAATGAAGTTACATTTTATGTTCATTTCCAGTTGCTGTAGCATGAATGCCACCCTTTGTCATGAAAAGTAAAACTAAGTAAGACTGTGTACACACTAATCTATTTACAGCACAAAAAAATGTAGTTTTTCTCAACTGGGAATCATTCATGCTCAGTGCTTTTCTTCTAGAAAAAAAAGATGCCGGTACTGCACACACCCAGAAAAAAAGCACTGTTCATGCTTGTCCTCAACATGCTGCTTTCAATCTAGATTGAATCTAGAGTCTGCTCTCCAAAAGGTTGGGTGTGGTTACTTGATACCTATTTGAAAATTCTCTTCTTGATTAGGTGATCCATGCCTTTTCCTCCCTTCACATGTGCCAAGTGAAAGAAAAAGAAAGAGGTCATGGCAACTTTAATATATGCCTACCCACAGTGACATTGGGCAGGTCTGGACTCACCCACCGCAACTGCCAGGACCATCTACATCTCTTTTCAAATGTCGTGTGTACATAGCCTAACTCATGATTCATGACCTGAATCTAAACCAGGAATGGGGAACTTTTTTGCCTCCATGGGCCCTGCCCTGTTCATTTTAAGCCATACATGAATGCCTGAGTAGGGTGTATGATACCCACAGACAAAATTCAACAAAAATGTAATAAAAAAGAAATAAATAAGAAAGCATTGCATCAACACACATTGCATATCGGCATTTTAGTAGGAAACATCCCAGACTTAAAATAGGAATCAACTTTGTCTCAGCAGCAATTTACTCATTCAACTAGATCATCTTCAGAGACCCTGTTTTATATTCTCCTGTTCTCTGAGGTGGTGAGAGGGGCTACCTTTTCAGTGGTGACACCTGGGGTATGGAATTCCCCCTCAGAGAGAGACAGAAACAGACATAGACCCAGCTCCCTCACTAGTGGAGTTCAGATGGCAAGTTGTTCCTGCTATTTTTCAGGGCATTTAGAATAGCACATAACAAGTTGTTGCCTTTATGTCCTTATCTTGTTCTGTTGTTTTATTGCTTCTGGTTCTATGATTGTCTTGTTTTGGTTCATACTGATGTTAAGCCATGTAATGATTCTTTTGGATGCAAGAATAGATATTTCAAAAAAATAATATAAGTAAACAAGCAAAAATATATGAAACATGCTAATAGGGTTGTTAAAGATTATCACTAAAACAGAGAAGATCCTGTAGTGTCTTAGGCTGCAATCCTAACCACACCTACCTGGGAGTAAACCCAAGTGAATTCAATAGCACTTACTTCTAAGTAAACATTGTTAGGCTTGCACTGTTAATGACTAACAAATGCATTTGTTTGTGTTTATAATTGTGAGTCTAGGTTATAAGTGACTAAATTCTGTTATTGTTGAAGACACTGTTATATGCAGCAGTTGTTTTCCTGGTAGTAGTAGCAGCACTTGTAACACCAGCACTCTAGGAACTGTACTGGTTCCCTAAAGCCCTTTAAGCACAATCTAATACACTATTTAAGAAATCATTCCCATCTCTTACAATAATCTCTAAAATCCACTGACCATCCGCGATGCATGTAGTTAGGAAAACAAGGGCATGCAGAGGGAGTGTATCAAAACTCATGAACTCCCTCCTTGCCAAAGTCTGAAGAATGGTTGGAAACGTTGCTAGCAGCACTTGTTATTTTTTCATATGAACTCTCTGTTTAGACTGTGGTTAAGCAATTTCTATTCTATTTACAATGATGCAGTGTATAAATTATGTTTAATTCAATAAATAAATTGGAACATTCAAAAATGATGGTAAATGCAGTCATTGTGAAGAAAACATGATTAGGCATCATGAAACTTCCTTCCACACCATCATGCATAGAATTGCACACTGCACACCTGCTTAATCTTAAAAGGCTAAAACTTGAAATCCCTGGTTTATTTCTGGCCAAAATATCTGTCATTGTTAATATTTAAGACTATGCATAAACCTAGTAAATATTTGTATATTCTTTGCTGCTCTTTTTTTTTTTTACTAGGTGATAGTAGCTGATGTGTCTGGACAGATATCTCATTTCTCCCTACTATTTAAGCTATACAGGTTTTCATTGTTTCATGTTTTAGCCTTTTAACCAGCGGGGCCGACCATTTATTACTAATGTTTTATATAATTGGATCCCTTCCCAATGCTATTTTATCTGAATGTTTTTGTACTAACAACCTTCTTTTTGTGTTTTCTTTTGTCTCTTTCCTACCTGTCTGCTGCCTCTGTCCCTGGATGGTTATTTCTGATGACTGTCTTCTGCACTTTCCATCTAATCTTATCATTTGGGGTGTTTTCAATAAATTACTTGAAAGTGAGTGTACAGATAGACTCAAGCTCCCGATCACAGATGTTTTCTGCTTCTTCTTCTAAAGGCTACAGTAATGATAACAACTCAGAGTCTTCTTACATACCTAATATTGACACAAGCTTAGCAGAAAATCATTCACATACTGGGGAAGATTTGTCTTTGGTGCCCCCTGAAGATGACATTGAGAAGTCTGTTCATCTTAATCAAGATGGCAGCATGACAGTTGAGATGAGAGTTCGATTCAACATAAAAGAAGAGGAAACTATAAAATGGACGACCACAGTTAGCCGTGCTGGCACCTCTGCAGTTGTTGCAGAAGATGAGTCATGTGGAAAAAATGCAGAAAACTTTAACAGGGCTGAATATGATGTCTCACTGCAGCCCATCAACACAGAAGTGATCAGTCAAGATATTTCATGTGGAACGGAAGCTAGCAATTATGACATCTGGCAGAATTCTTCTGTGAACGTAGATATGAGCCAGGCAAAGAATGATAAGATCAAACCTCCTTTTTATAGACCACCTACTCCTGGGCCTAGAAGAGTCAAGCAAAAGAAATCCTTGGTTGAAAGTGTAACTGTGGTATCTGACACAGCAGTCCAAAAAAAGATGGTTGGGCAGTATTCTTACAGTGAAGAAATGGACAATGGTGATACCAAATCTGAATATTGCCTGGTCACTCACTCTAGCAGTAAAACATCAAGTGTTACCACACCAAAACTAAGCGAAATTTGTAGCAATCATACGCTGAATCAATCTCAGGATGACCAGACAGAGGAAGAAACATCAAACAAAGTCACAATTGAAAAGTCCATTGCCTTGCCTTGTGAGGATGGCTTATTACAGAACGTTTTGGAGAAATCAGTTGCAGAGGAAGGCTTAGATAACAATTTAACATCTGGTTATGATTCTAGCATCAGTCATGCTCAAACGTCTCTAAAGAAATCCCATGCAACTGGACTGCCTTTGCTTAATCAAAGTGATCAAACCGGAAGGGAAGTAGGCAGCTTCAACATCCACCCCGAATTATCTCAGTCAAGAAGTGAGGAGGTAATATGCAACCAGTGCAAGGGATTGCCTTCTTCTCAAACTCCCATACATGACTCACCTCCTGGGAGCAGTGAAACAGTATGCAAGTGTGCTCAAAGATCTCCCCCGATAACAGAACCTTCTTCTATCACTGTCAAGAACTCAGCAACTCATCTCTCTGATGGAAGCCAAGCTGCATCTTCCAGTAGTAAAAAGAAGAGCAAGAAGAAAAAGAAGAAAAAGAGAAAATCTTACTCTGATATTGTGGAACAAGGCACAGCTTTTCCACAGAACTTGCATGATATAGCAGCCGTAGCAACCCATGAGAATGACGTGAAGACTTGTGAGATGCATATCACAAGAGAAAGTGCACCACATTCTTCTCCTCAAATCACAGTTCATAAAAGAGTGCTTGCTTTGCCTGTTGCCAACTTAGAAGGTTCTAATAAAGGCTTAGGTCCTAAAGAAGATTTATATAGTCAAGTGTCTAAGAAATCCCAGAAAAATGAATTAGAATTTAACCTGAAGCAAAATCTAAATAGACAGTTGCCTAAGCTAAAAGCCAAATCAGACAAAAAACCTCACTTGAAAGCAGAAGAAGGGTTAAAGGCTAAAGATCACCCCAAAAATGAAATTGAACAGATTAAAGAAGGTACATGGGACACAGCTAATGTAACAGAACAAACACCAGGTTGCATAGTTTCATGGAAGCCATTGACTGATACAGGAAGTGGTCCTATAGCTGAAAAAGAAAAGAGGGTAACTTCTGCCAAATCACACAAATCATCATTGAAACATAAAAAAGTAAAAAAGAATAAAAAACCTGAAAGTGCTTCAGGTAGTAAAGTCCCTGTGTTGGATGAGACTAGAACATTGGATACTTTGAGGGATGCAGCCTTGACAAATGAGATTGCAGAACTTTCTCTTGAAAGTTATATCCAAAACTGGTTGCAGAACATATTCCCAAATGCTGCAATGCCTGAAAAGCATTTACCTCCCATAAATTCAGATAACAGAACAATGCATCAGTTGTCTGTCAAGTCTTTTTCAGATAAAGAAAGTCAGTTAGTAGGAAAGAATGTGTGCCTATCAGGGAATAAAAATATTAGTGAAAGTAAACTATCCAATGGTACATTAAATCATCTCAGTGAACTGGGAACTGTTGAAGAATCAGTTAAAAAATTGTACGAAGGACACATTGGCTGTTTGACAGATGCTGAGGCAAGTTTAATAGAAGAAGCCAAGTATTTATTACAGTCAGATATCCAGAGCAATAATAAACTATCCATGTGTAATATTATACATGAAAATGACAAAAAGAAGGTTCTGTTAGAAACCAGTGATCAAAGGTACATTTCTGAAATTGCTGCCCGGGTTAGTCCCAATGGCACCAGTAACATTCTAGGACCTGATATGCAGAAGGATTGTGTCAGTGGTCTGTTGCTGCACCAGCTGAAATCAACAGTGTGCAGTGCTGAAAAGAACCATGTTGGATGCATTACAGACATTTCTTCTTCCTCCTTTCTTGGATCTTCTTCCAATCTCCTCCTCGCTTGGCTCCTTCTACTTAACCTCAAAGAAACTTTGTCCAATATAAATAAAGATGACATGGTACAAACTACCTGTAGCTGTTCAGAAGTATTTACACTCCTGCAGTATTTGAAACAAGTTGCAATTAAAGAGGAAGCTGAAGACCTGAAGACTGCTGTCTCCAATCTTCAGGACTGCACAGCAAACCATTTAATATTCTCCGGAATGCAAATAGAGAAACAGGAACCAACATACCACAAAGAAATTTTTTCTCAAGCTGAAATTAAACATATACCAGTCTTTGAAGAAGAAGGAAAAGTAAACAAGAATTTAACTCTTAAGAATAAGTTGAGTTCTGAGGAAGTTATTGATGCAGAAGTGTTAGCAGGAGAATTGGAGAGGTTTAGTGGGGAGGAGGGGGAGGAGAAGGAGAACTGCAGAACTCCAGTAGAGAATTCAGATCTAAATGATTTGGATGTTCATGATGAAATGCAAAATTTGAACTGCATTAATGCTGACTTCAATAGCTGTGGCTTGGCTTCAAATGAGGATCTGCCTACAGAAAATGAACAAAGTTCATTTGAACATAGCTCATTTCAAGGCACACAGGAAAAACCCACAGATACATCATTTAATAATGAAGAGTCAGAGATATCACAAGAACCTAAGTCAAGCACTCACAGCATGACCTCTAATGATAAAGACCACATGTTTGATCTAGAAACTTCAGAGGTAGATGATAAGGAAGTAAAGGGCACAGAAGATTTAAACTGGACCAACTCTGTGTTGTTAAAGGAAAATCCAAGTGAGTGTCTTACTTCCATTGCTGATAATACCACAAATGGTGACATTGTAGAAAATTCTGTACGGGAAGACATGGAGGAAGATGGTACTTGTGAGGAGACTTCAGAACGATTGTCTACACCATCACCATTATCTTTTTGTTATGAATCTAAGCAAATTCCAGGAGAAGAGGAACAGGTGTCCCGAGTAAAACTGATAGTAAAGGAACTTGAGGGTGGATCCTACTCAAATTCTTCTTTGGAATTCAAAAAATGCCTGAAAAGTCCTGCCACTTCTGACTTGTCAGATTATCGACCAGAAACTGATGAAAGTGATTACAATGTTAGGCATTCCAGTGACTTGACGAATGAAAGTGTAGATGAAGCAATATATGAAAAAGAGTACAACAAAGGGTATGTGAAAAGAACTATTGAGAGACTTTATGGTAAAGCCGAAGCTTCCTTTAAGTCCCCTTCTAAGCTTGATCCTCCATATTTGACTCAAACACTACAAGGAAATGCTGTAGAAGAACCCTGTCATGATGTAATGGAGGGAGCTCCTTTGTTGTGTCAAAAGAATCATACCTGGCTGGATGAATTTGCATCACCTAAAATCCCAGAAGATTTAAACGCAAATAATGACATGTGGGAAAAAGAAAATGCTACCTTGCCAGCACCACAGTTTAGTCTTAATGGGGAAGAAGCATATTATAATGATGACTGTTCAGTGGAATACACAAACCAGCACTGCCAATCTAGGGAACACATTGCTGAAGATGAAGGAGTACTGATTGATAAAGGAAAATGGCTTCTTAAGGAGAACCATTTAATAAGGAGGTCACCACCTGAGAACTCTGGAATGTATGGCAATACAGATACAACATCGGCCGACACGGCATTTGACAATCATAGTGATGAAATTCCATATTCACATTTTGGGAATCTGAATCTCCGGCCGCCACTCAAAGAAATATCATCTTCTGAACTTGAAGACATGGCTAAGCCATATGACAATGGATGCAACTACTTCAACATGCCTCATAACAGTGATTCAGATCCGTTTCCTGATACTTTAAGTATACAAAGCAGAAACAACCAGTGTAGTAGCTCCGTGCTTTTTGAGGCAGCATGTAACAGTTCCACGCAATTTTATACAGAAGTGAAAAGTAATTCCCCAGCTCTTACTTCTGTAGAATTTAGATTACCAGACAATAAGGTGCATCCTGCAGAACAGTCTTCAAATGATGAGCCAATTCAAACCCAACCAATAAGCAACACTCATTCAAGCAGGAATAGCCGTGAAGATCAAGACTCGCTGGATAAACTCCATGCTATCTGTGGACAACATTGTCCAATATTGACAGCCATCATAAAGCCAACTAATGAGGAGATCAGAGGATGTGCTTACCAAAAAGCCTCCGATGTTGAGAACCAAGTGGGGTCACATTTGTTAACAAATACTCCATATTTCGTATGGCAAGGCAAAAATATAACTGGACTTTACAAATATCACACAGACCTGAAGAACAGCAGCATTAATAACATTGCAAATAATATTTTTAACAGACTCTATGCTGACAATACTTTAGATTTCATGAATGGCAGTACTTTCAGTTTACTTGTGTCAGCAGCACTGAAAGAAAATCAAGGTTTAAAGAAATTATATGTCACAGAAAATATTGACGTGGGCACACAGGAGATCAACAGTCATGAAAATAATGCCAGTAGTGATGCATTCAGTGAGATAACAGTGGAGCAGAGTAATAATTTATCTGTACTGCAGAACTCAAAAGATAAGGGAAACAAAATGGTTGCAGAGAAACCTGCTTCTCCATTAGCAGATGTAACAGAAAGGTGCAAACATGAAAATTTTCACCATCATGAGGCACTCTTAAATAGTACTGGCTTGAAATTAACTGTAAACTTGGAAGGTGAAAATGCCCTCAGTATCAAAGAAGAAACTTCACTTTATGTAAAAGAAGATGAAAGTGACAATGAGTATTCAGACTCCGAAAAAAGTTATTAAGAATTATATAGCACTGCCTATATATTAAAACAAAACAAAATCACAAATGATAAAGACAGTGAATTTATACCCTGGTTTGAGGAATACATGTTCCTAATTTCTTATTAATAATTCTTCTGTGAAAAGGTTTTTTTGTTCTTGTTTGTTTTTCACTCTCTTGTTACATATTTTCCTTAACAAATGCAAAATAACATTACAAAAATTTTGTGCATGAGAAACTATGGAAATATTAGTTAATAATGGTTTTTTGTGATGGTAGATTAAACTCATGACCCATATTATTGAACATTAGAAATGCAGCCCATTATGCTAGCATGGACAGGGTGTAGGACTGATATTAAGTTTATTTTATTAGAGAGGCCATTTGTGATCATTTTATTTATTGTTATTTTTCTCTAAACTGCAAGTGTAATTAACTTACCTGAAAAAACTGTTAAGTTTACATTTCTAAATCTTCTAAATCTTCATAATTATTCTTATCATATTTGGATCTCCAAAGTATTTCACTGGACAAATTATAATTATAAATTTGTCCAGTGAAATACTTTGGAGATCCAAATATACAGAACATTTTAGTTTTACAAAACAGATGTTAAAGATACTTTTTCTAACAAACTGTAAAAACAATATTGTATATTGAATGTATATTGAAATGGGCAACAGAAAGTATTGCAATTATAGGCAATATTCTTATGTATGATGTCGGTGAACTTTACTCTTGTGTTCTATACACTGAGAAACTTAGAAAATACACAAAGGCATGATTCTAAGAAGGGCTAACTGATCTCATTTATGTATGTAACCAGGCCACTCTCTAGTTTTGTTGGGGTTGTTTTTTTTTATCCAAGTTTGCCCTCTGTCTTAATGAATATAAAATCAGACACTAGTTAGTCTTCAATTACAGAGACTGGTCAAAAAATTAAAACATCATATACATTACCACTTCTGTTGCATTTTTACTGGAGATAATCGTGATAGAAACTACTAGTCTAACATTGCAATAGCCAAATGTAGCTAGTGTAATAGAACTTGCTTCATATTTCTGAAAGTCCAAAGGCAGCTATTATTATTATTATTATTATTATTATTATTATTATTATTATTATTATTTTCTATACCACACTTCATCTGAGGATCACAGGATGGTTTACAATATAAAAACACAAAAGATGTAACATAGCAACAAACAAAACCAATACCTCCCCACAATTTAAAAGGCCATAGATTATTTAATTAGCCAAATTTCTTGGAGAAAAGGAATGTTTATGTCTGACATCTAAAGATATGTAACAAAGGCGAGCCTCCCTTGGGAGAGCATTCCACAAACTGGGAGCCACTGCAGAAAAGGGCCATTTTCATGTTGCCATCCTCCAGACCTCTTGCGGAGGAAGCACACAAAGAGCCTCAGATGATGATTTCAGGGTCTAGGTCGGTTCTTATGGAAGAGGCAGCCTTTGAGGTACTGTGGTTTAGGGAAGTTTTTAATGTTTAATGTTGTATTGTGTTTTTAATATTTGATTGGGAGCTGTCCAGAGTGGCTGGGAAAACCCAGCCAGATGGGCAGGGTATAAAGAATAAACATCATATTATTATTATTATTATTATTATTATTATTATTATTATTATTATTAGCTCCTGAGCCATTTAAGATTTTATAGGTCAAAACCAGAACTCTGAATTGGGCCTGGATTGATGTAATGTGGCTACTGAATTCTGCACCAGCAGAAGTTTCTGAACTATCTTCAGATGCAGCCTCATGTATAATGTATTGCAGTAATCTAACCTAGGGGTTACCAGAGCCCAGATGAAAGAAGTTATGCTATCCCTAACCAGGCACTCCATGCCACCAAGGCCACCTGAACCTCATCCAACAGCAGTGGGTCCAGAAGTACTCTCAATCTGTGTACTCACTCCTTCAGAGGGAGTTGTAGCTCCATCAAGAGTAGGCAACTTTTCATCCATCTGATCTAGGGAACCACCCACTAACAGTGTCTCAGTGTTATCTGGATGGAGTTTCACTTTATTGGCTCTCATTTGGTCCATTCCTGAGGCAGGACAATGCTCTAGCATATCTACTGCCATGCCTGTAGATGTAAAGGTAGAGCTGTGTGTCATCAGCATATACTGTAGCTGACAATATACTCCAAAACTCCTGATGACCCCACTCAGTGGTTCCATGTAGATGTTAAACAGCATGGGGGACAAAATCAAACCTTGAGGAAGCCCACACTGAAGACTATGTGTTTTTTCTACAGATACTTGGCTGTTATACATTGTTTCAAAGCAATAGCTATCATTACCCTTGTATTTGTGTTTCTATGATAATGAATCTGTATTATGAACAATAAAGTAAGCTAAAAGAACAGCCCTTTGTTATTGGAGAAAAATGGAAGATTGCTGAACAGCCTGACCTCAATCTGTACCTTGTATAATTAATGAAAGCATAATGGATGACAACACCAGTCTTGGAGATATTACATATATGCTGCACTAATTTTTGAAACCAGTTTTTAAAGGAATAATTATTGTAACACAATACAGCATTTATTTCATCTATCCTCACAATCCCTGAATCAGACTTTCACAATAACATTTCCAGTTTATGGATAGAAAACTGACTCTGAGGGAAGGTGATTCATCCAGAGACCAACCAGAGGGTTCATGATTGAACATGTATTTGAAGTTGCATGTTCAACCCAATGGGCTGTAAATGTTGCTGCCAATGCACAAATGGAATGGTTTGTCAGTCACACAACAGGACCTCACTTTCTTCTCAGGCCCCTGCATTGCCTTGCACTCCCTCAAAACCTGCTCTTTAGGGTTGGGGGGATCCTCTGAAAAAGATTGGGGTGTATGTGTCGAATAATGGAAAGCTGACTCCTGTTGCACAAGCAGAGGTCCACTCATATAACATTGAATTCTGTCCAACATCAACCAGACTCTGCTGGTTGTATTAGATCAATGTAAGAATGCTGGGTCCATAGAACCAATAAGAAAAGTCTATAATGCAAATTAATTCATGACTGTGTAATCATTTATTAACACTTCAGTGCATTTTATAATAAGTAACTTAGGTAGTGCTAAAACAAACAAGGAATTGTTTTTGTTTATATTATTTTAGATTTTTTAAGCTAAACGTGTCTCAAAAACTGGGCACACTACAGTTCCCACCACAGATGAAAATTGCTTTTTTTGAATGGCCTGTATAGTTACTGAAGCTCGTAAGTGGGAAGAGCCTAGGATGGAGACCTTTGCATAGGGCTCCAATTTGAAGTACCATGAAGTACAACAAGCAAACAAAAAAGGTGCATTTTTATCTTGTGAACTGCCCTGAGATCTTAAGATGAAGGGTGGTATATAAGTCAAACAAACAAACAAATTCCATCATGATAATTTTATACACAAAACATAGTCATGAAGGCTGTAAGTCCCCTGATGGAATGTGAATAGCTGGAAAGTAGAGAAAGGCAAGATGGTAGCTGACTGGACTGTAGTTCAATGGTTGGAACTGGAAAGAGGTCATTTAAGCAGCACAGCCCAACCACTCTGTTTTCCATAGCTGGAATGTAGCCTACGGTACAAAGGTGAGTCATGTGCTGCACACACTTTTTTTGCCTCTGGATTTGTCCACTACTGGCATGTGGTCCTGGAAGGTCACTCGGGAGGGGAAATGGCCCCTGGGTAGGAAAATGTTTCCTACTCTTCTTTTACTCCATCATGAACACATGCATTAACTAATGAGATTAACCTAAAGGTTGCCATTAATATCTGGAAATTTTCAGATGAAAAACTTGTTTGAAAAATCTGAAGACTTCATTATTAGGGCACAAACTATTTGGACTCCTTAGGTGTAATAACCAATGTGGTACTTCTGCTATACATATAGTATTTGTGTTATAGAAGTTTCTAAATATAAATATTGCAGCAAGTGGTTAATGGGTAGTGACTAAATATTGAAAGCATTACACTGTTTCATTTGAGGATGCAGAGAATGATTTCTGCTTGACAGAATTGCAGGCCATTATGCACTGATGTTCAGTACCCTTTCACAGGTGCTATTGCCCCAAAGAACCCATTGTCATTTATCTCTTAACTGCTGATTCTTAAAACCAGTTTCTTCTTTTAATCTCGTGGATATTGCTAAATTGGATTAAGCAAATGAGCATAATATTCAATTACAACTAGTGAAGAGAATGATTTAATAAAAGCAAAGCTGTACAGGTCTTATTGGTGCTATATTATTAACATTATAAGTCATTATCAAGGCACAAGTACAGGGACAGAATGAGAAAAACTAAATGGCTGCCCGTTGAGTGTTCCTGTTCATTTCATGGATAATTCCCGTAAGGAGAAAATCACTGAGGAAAATCTGTGCTAAAACTGAATGTGATGGAAGACAGCCTCTGAATCTGGCTGTAATAATTATAAATCTGTGTGACAAAGCAATCTGTGCTGGAATTGGAACAATGGCTATGAGCCATAATGGCTATGCTCAGCCTGCACTGTTGGAGGCAGTATGTTTCTGAACAACACTTGCTGGGAATCACAGTGCTGTTGCTCTCTGGTCCAGCATGTGAGTTTCCCATATGCATCTGTTTGGCCACTGTGAGAACATGAGACCAGACGAGATGGGCCTTTCTCCTGATACGACAGGCCTCTTCTCATGTTCTTATCAACTTCCTTTGGAATCGGGATCCAAAAGGCAATCAAAATCGACCTTGGCGAAGAAAAGAAACTATAAGGCACGAGGAAGAAAGACTGTCTGAGGCTCACGGAAGCATGAGCGTGTTTGTGTGAATGTGTATCATTGAAGCCCTATTGCAGTAGTGGACAGTGTAGTGGAGTAGACCTCTTACCTGACCTGACCTCCTAGGTGAGTCAGTGAAGCTTATTGGGAGGGGGTAAGACATTGACAAGGGTGTCATGGAGCAAACACACCAGAGGAGCTAATCTGGCACTCCTGCTGGTGCATCTACTGTGTGCCATCCAAGCTGCTGTATCCCCTGTTGCCCTTCCTGCTAGTGAACAGCAGCGACTCACCTAGGAGGTCAGGTAAGCACCTCTGCCCTACGATGCCATCTGCCTAGTTGAAACTAGAGTGTGGAAAATGGGTATTTCAGGTACAACTGCCAGTAATTTGTGATTATTTTAAGGAAAGGCAATTCTTACCTGGTGAGAGGCACATCCTAATTCCCATTAATTATAGATTTCTTTATATGTTTCTTTAGCTAGGAAGTGGAAGGTAACAGTTTTTACCAGTGACCTACCATCTGCCAGCACCAGCTCACAAGTTTATATTGTACTATATGGGGATCAAAATAATTCAGGAGCTGTCTTTCTATATGGAGAGGAGAAAAAGGTGTTTGAAAGAGGAAATGAAGATACATTCATTGTAAGTTAATATAACAAAATACTG